ATATATATATATATATATATATATATATATATATATATATATATATATTTGTGGATCTATACTTGCAAAAACATTCAAGTAATCCACTGAATTCATTAACACAATGCACAAAATATAGGCTTTTAACCTAAAGTTTCCTTAACTTACCTACACAGTGAACAATTATGGCATCCCCATCTGCTACTATGGGATGGGTAACATCACCTATCATATACTTTATAGAAGTCTCCTCAGGGTCTGTATATTCTAAATCCAATACATTTTCCCCTTCTTCTTTGTCTTCTTCTTCACTGCTTTCTTCTGACTCAAGGCAGCAAGACTGATAGTGATTGGCTTCCCACAAGGCTTTCCTGAATTAAATGAAAAAAAATCTTTTTATTTTGTATAAATAATGCAGAGTTGATTTTATTATAAACTTAAACATCAGCTGAGTTTCAATTCTGCTTCAGCACTACTGAAACAGTAGTATGAAAGCAGCCCATATTCTACAGAGATTCTAGACCAATAGAGTACAAAGAAATGAATGGCTTGTAGTAACGGCATCCTAATTTTCAAATGCTCTTTCATTGAAGCCCAGAATAGGGTCAACAGCTGAGGGAGCAAAGCATGCAAAAAACTTACTTTTTCTGCTGTTCAGCCTCTGCTGCCTTCTGCCTCTTTTCTTCTCTGAGCCTTGCCCTCTTTGCTGCTGCTTCCTGCATTTTTTTCTGCTGAACTTCCAGCTCTTCTGGGCTCAGTTTATGCTTTTTTTTACTAGGTCCCATATCAGCCATCATAAGAAAAACCTAGAAAAATAATCTATGGGATATAATCTTTTTTTATCTCAAATTGCTTTTATATTCCTCTTCATCTAATACCATCACAGGTTCTTCTGGTCAATTTCCCAGAGACGTTTTCAAAACAACAAGAACACACCACTGCATTGACCAACATAAGAATTTCCAGATTATTTGGCCTGAAAATTCATCTGAATATTTATAACTTGCTACCCAGTATCTAGATTTGTTGAGCTTTTAAAACTCTGGCTGACTAGAAATCGATGGATACAATGTCCATAAAAACTGGAGATTAAATCCTGTCAAACAGGATGAAACTTAATCTAAAGGGCATTCTAGGGAAGTTGACAGTAGAAATTATTTTTCCAACCTACTTCCTGTTGTGTTTGTATATAAATTTCAAATAAAATTTCTGGTACACTAATCAAAATATTGCATTATTCTTACGTTTTCTTTATTTCGGAGAATTCTTCCTCCTTGACTAAGGTCTTCAAGGAGAGCTTTCTGATGTTCTAGCAAATGATCATAGGCCTTCTTGTCCTCTTGGCTAGTTTCGTTGGAATAGTCTTTGCCATCAAATATGTACATATGGCCTTAAAAACAAAATGAAGCATCAATTGACATACATTTTAACTTTAAGATTAGCTGCAGCATTGTAATACTTTTTATAGTAACCCTCTTTTGAGAAGTTATCCCTTCATGATCTTAGCGTCCTATGGAGAGAAAAAATACTGCTGGACTTTAATTCACCACAATATTAAACAGGAAATCTGTACCATCACCAACCTGAAAAAAATAATAAAAATTTAATGAGACACATATGTAAGAAAGAAATTTATTCTTCAGTGTCCTACATTAAATTTTTTCTAATCAGCTTTTTTATTTTTAAGGCAAAGAAACGTAATATAAGAAATTCCTGAGTGAGAAATTCTATGGTATTAGATCAGAGGATCTATTTTCTACAATATTATTTTGCTGTTTCATGCTTAAGTCAAGTTATTATTTTAAAATGTTTTGTCATTTAAGAATTCCCCAGTTATTGATAAATGTAACATCCTTATTTATCCAATCAAATTTTGATATACTTTACTTAAATAAACCCATAAATCAGAAGAAAATGTAGATACATAAATGGTAAAAATCCAATGAAAATACAGTTATCTTCTAGTTGTACAGTAGGAGTGATGGGACAGCCTACATATTTTCTTTGTTCCTGTATCTGCCCTTTTTATAGGGTGGAAGGGGAGAAAGAAGCTGTTGTATTATAGGTTGTTTTTTTTTAAAGACTACATTTGAATCGCCAGTTCATTTCAAATACAAGAAAAACTGAAATTGCAAAAAAACATATTTAAGTAGGGTTCCTGAAGGGCTCAATTCCAAGTATTCATTGTTTTAGCATCCCTCTTTCATCTATGAGTTAATGGCAGTGTACACAGTGTTTCCACTTTTCTTCAGCATAATCACATGTAATGTGATGGCCATAAATCCATCAACCAGCCATGGCTAAGGATCAGATCAGGTCTTCTTACCCCAGATCAATACTTTAACCACTATACTACACTTCTTCTATATACATCAAATGTTAGAAATGCCATGAATTTAATCCACTATGCTAAGCTATAATTGCTATATTTAATGCCATGTGCAAACCCCACTACTATTATTTATAAAGCAGAATTTCTTATAAACAGTTTTAAAGTCAGGAGTAGCATTTAGTCTTAAAGTAGCCTGAGAAGTGCCATACACTGAAAAGTAGATCTTGTAAAGATATTTACTAAGTTTGATTTAAATTGATTTAAACAAATGTGTTTCCTCTGCATGTACTTAATGATATCCTCCTTATATTTCATAAAAAATACTTAGCATCCATGTCAGCAGCAGCTTTGAAAGCCTCATCCAAGGCATTCAGAGGCTATATATAATTCAGAGGTCTCAGGCTCCACATAACTACCTTGGTCTAGTAGTTAAGGCATCAGGCTAGAAAGGAAACCAGGACTGAATGTCCCACCTTAGCCATGAAAGCCAATTGGGTGACTTTGGGCCAGTAATTCTCTGTCAACCCAGCCCACCTCACAGGGTTGTCATTAGGAAGAAAATAGGAGGGAGGTGTGTTGGATATGTTCATCACCTTGAGTTATTTGTAAAAATAATGAAGGTGAGAAACAAACAAATAAATGAATAAATAATGATTAAAGCAGACCACAGTTTATGCAGCAAAACATAATACCAACTATGGTTTTTAGCACAGCGTGCATGTTCAAAAGAAACTTTGGCAAAGAGAATAAAAAAATATGGACAGCATACACATAAGTAATGTTAATGTTCAGAAATAAATTTGAGTTTCAAGTGAGGAGCCCGATTTCTATTGTATTTTATGTTAGATTCATCAACTTACTTTCCAAAGTATGCTCTTCATTTATTTCTGTGCTTGATTGCACTGGATCCATTGACCATATTCCATCCTTTGTCTCCCCAAGGATACTTCTCAAGTCTAGATCACAGACAGTACTCCCTTCTGATGACAACAATTTGTCCAAACCGAACTTCAGGATTTCATTTAGCTTTTAAAAAAAAAAAAAAAAAAAAAAAAAAAAAAAGAGAATATAGTGGCATTTAAAAGATCTTACTCTTATTTCCCTATTTCTTTTAGAAAGTTGATCTAGACCAGTGTTTCTTAAAGTGTGGCTTGAGGAACCCTAAGGATCTCCTAAGACCCCCTCAGGAGTTCATGAAATTATTTGCCAGTTTATGTTGACAAATAATATATTAAGACACTTTCAAACAATTGTGAGAAGTGGTAGTGGCAGCAGTACATCCATTTTAATTTTTAATTTGGTAAATACTAATAAATAAAACGCATACAAAAGCTATTTTGCAGTCTTCCATAATTCCATAAAAGTAGAAAGGGGTCCTGAGAGAAAAAAGTTTAAGAAACACTGTTATCGAGTGAATCAAAGCATTCCTTATTATATTACTATACTGTAATATACTGTGAGACATCATGTTTATTTAACAACAAACTGGAATATAAATATGCTGGAGAAAACACTTAGGAAGAAAGTACATGTCAGAATTAAGATGACTTGTTCCTATAGCAAATTAAATAAGGATTCTAATGACAGGATGAAAAATTCATTTGCTTGTGATGCCGATGAAATGACAATCAAGAATGGCAACTTTAGATTAAGAAATGGAAGGTTACAAAGACAATTTCTTTCCAAAAATCAAGCTTAGAATGTGATTGTATATAGGCACATTTTTCACAGGAATTAGAGAAAAGAACTTTTACAGGAAATTAAGCAACTTTAAATCACTATTAAATTTAGAAATAAGAGAGTTTATGATGTTTACCAATGATAACCAAATGTTGTATACTTCATGCACAGAATTTTGATATTTTATAGAATTCAAAAAGAAAAAAAAATACAGAAACACCATTTAATCTCTAGGGTTACCCATCTGTATTTCCTCTGAAATTTGTAAAGGTGCTTTTTGGCATCTCTTACCTGAACATCTGATATATCCCGAGTTTTGTGTGCTCCAAGTGCAAACTGCCCCCCTTCAATAACAGTGTTAGTTAATTGAAGTTTTGATATTGCTCGCCGGTAGATAATTTCTTCTACAGTGTCTCTCCCAATCAAGCGTATGATTTTTACTGGTCTTTAAAAAAGTACAAGGTTTATATTAATATAATAATTTGTAATCATGTGTATTGCAGCAGGATATGGCAAATCTCTCTCAAGTCTCATTGCCGCAGGATTTTTAGTTTTGCTTCCACAACAATGGAGGCAACAGGTTTCCAAAGCAGAGATGGAACTCTGTAGCCCTCTAGTAATTTTTGCACTCCAACTTCAGTTACATTGAAGCATTTTGGACAGTAATAGGACAAATTATGTATTTATATAAATTGTAAAATACAGATTCCAAAGGTGCTTTTTTCAAGAGGCAACTGGACTTTATTTTACTTTGAAGACATTTCACTTCTCATCCAAGAAACTTCTTCAGCTCTGACTGGATAATGGGGAATGGAAAGATTTATACTCCTTGCAGACAGCTAGTAATTTGCATTCTTTTGGGAGTTGTTGAGGCCACCTATGGGTTTATCTTCAAGAGAGTGGCCTTTGTCTTTTAAATGTAAATGGGCTGCTGAATCTTGTCTTGATGTGTTTGTTCTCCTTGTTCGCCACAGAATCAGCCACCAGGAACAATAAACTGGCAGAATCAGAACAATTAAGAATGAAGGTATCTGCAGCCCTTGCCAGTGCCAAAACACCCCCTTCCAACCTCACAATTCAAGGAAGGAGAGCAGTGATATCCTTGGGATGAGATCCAAATATCACCATCCTGCCAGATGATAAAGGAAGATGCACAGTCATCCTGAACAAAGATGACTATAAGGCCAAGATGAACAGTCTTCTGCAGGACACTGCTATATATGAGACTCTGAAGAGATATCCCACCAGCAGTTACAAGAAAAAGGACTTCGATTTCTTGCAACACCTACTGAAGGACAATGCTATCGACAATATTACATCTGCATTTCAAAGACAAAGGCCACTCTTTTGAAAACAGCAAAGTCGACATTTTGGACAGAGATGAACGCTGGTTTGAAAGAAGGATCAAAGAGGCCATCTATGTCAAACAGCCTTCTCTCAACAGAGGGGAAGGGACACATCATCTATCTTCAGTCTACAACACAGTCCTTTCAGCAATTCCAAGAAGGCTCCACACTCATTTGCACTACTCAGGTGACCCTGATGACACAGATAAACCTCCAGGTGGCCTCAATGACTCTCTAAAATAATGCAAATCACCAGCTGTCTGCAAGGAGTATAAATCCTTCCATTGCCCACCATCCAGTCAGAGCTGAATAAGTTTCTTAGATGAGAAACAAAATACCTTCAAAGAAAAACCAAAAAGTCCAGTTGCCTCTTGAAAAAAGCATCTTTGGGACAACCATGACCTGGATGACTGAGAATCTCCATAGACACTCTAACAAAGGGTTACCAAGTTGATACTTTTTGAATGTTTTCGAATTTAACTCATCCCATCCAAAATACCACTGAGATAGGACTACAAAAATTGTAGTTCAAATATGTTTGTTGCCTGCATTATTTTCTTCAAGTCATTAGTACTATTGCATTTTCTACTTATTACTTCCATGAGTTTAAGGCCAACTGAGATGATTTATAAAAACATTCAAAATTGATAATTTACAAAGGTAAAATGACTGAAAACCGTAATCTTGTTGGACACATACCCTTGCAAACATTTAAAACTTTGAAGCTTATTATAATAATTTTGTCTGTCATACATTTCTCCCCAGTTTTCTTGATAAGTCCATTTTTGGAGCAAAGATTTTTATAAAGAAAATGAGTGAAGTCTCCTAAACAGTTTGTGGCACATGGTCAGATTGCTGATAACCAGAGAGCACTGTATGGAATACTTAAATGAAACACTAATGTTACACAGTTTCTTAACGTGCTTCAATAAGTGCTACTAGATGGAGTGTTCATAATAATTCCTGGACATCACTTTCAAGCCTACTGTTCTTGGAACAATTTCTTTAGTTTCCATATACATTACAGGTAGTCTTCGAGTTACAATCATTCAGTGTCTGTTCCAAATAATCATGGCACTGAACTTATTGACTGTGGTATCCTCAGTCATATAAACAAAATTCAGATGTTTGGCAACCAGTTGGTACTAATGACTGGTTGTAGCAATGTGATCATCGCTGCTGACTTTCTCTGCCATCTGCCTAAAGTAAAAGGGGAAGCCTGGAGGAAAGGTCACAAGTTGCTCAGATATGTCTCCCTAATCTTCCTTCACACCCACATGCCCAGCCAGTGTGGTGCCCTCTTTGCAGTACCCCCATGTTTCTTACTTAGGAAGTAAGTAAGTACTTACTTACTTCCTGCTTAACGATGACCCACATGTCTTGGAGTTAATGACAACAGGGGCTGCCTCGATTGCCATTGCTAAGCAATGTGGCCATGTGATGTTGCACTTTTATGACTCCACTGCTTAGCAACAGCAATCCCGGTCCCAATTGTCAATGTAACTTGAGGACTACCTGTACATTAAGTGGTGCTATATTCTGAATCAAAGACATACCTTAGCTGTAAATGTGTTTTTTAGTGGTCTGGGGAGGGACTGCAACAATGTAGCAAGACTTATAAAATATGCCCTTATGGGGAAAAAAAAACCCACACACATTTACACGCAGAAGCCACCAATTTTTCCTTACTTGTTCTGGCCAATCCTATGGGCTCTGGCTGCTGCTTGCACATCATTTTGTGGATTAAAATCACTGTCAACAAAAATAACTGTATCTGCTGCTGTAAGATTAATACCAACTCCACCTTGGAAAATAAAGGAAAATATTTATAAATTATAATAAAAAGAAATCAGCCATTCTATAATCTTAATTCAAGTGAAAATTATAAAGATAAACATTTCATTTGATAAGCCCAATTTTATGTCCTTTCTTGTCCCAGTTCTTAAGTGAATCATTGCAGTTAGTAACAGGGTTGCAAAAGGTGACCATGTGATGCCGGGACACAACAACTGTGATAAGTATGAACCAGTTGCCAAACATCTGGATTTTGATCACATGATCATGGTGATCCTGCAATGGTCTAAGTGTGAAAAATGGTTGTTGAGTCACTTTTTTCAGTGCTCCTTTAACTTCAGTCACTAAACAAACTTCTGTAAGTCAAGACAACCTATAACTGCTTTCTTTTGGTTTCAAAATATAATCTTTGAATATTGACTTTTAAAATCCTCCAATCTTTGCTTCTTTTATATCTCCAAAAAGTATCTTCTTCAAGCAGTCTTGACTTATCTGACACAGATGTCCATTAAAAATGCTAATGGTCTTATTTTCATAATTTTAAAAAGATGCTTACAGGGACTGCTTATCTGTTGCTGCACCCGCTCTGTGCAACCGCACCTTTTTGCAATATGATCAGACCTCTATTGTAATAGCATTCTAAATTGCTCATAATGGAACTATTTAGAAAAGTATTTGAGGCTATTGTTGTTGCCTATTTATTTTATTAATAAAATTTGAAATTTGTTTTGGGTATTTTATATACAGTGGGCCAAAAAAGTATTTAGTCAGCCACCAATTGTGCAAGTTCTCCCACTTAAAAAGATCAGAGAGGCCTGTAATTGACATCATAGGTAGACCTCAACTATGAGAGACAAAATGAGAAAACAAATCCAGACAATCACATTGTCTGATTTGGAAATATTTTTTTTTTGCAAAATTATGGTGGAAAATAAATATTTGGTCACCTACAAACAAGCAAGATTTCTGGCTCTCACAGACCTGAAATTTTTTCTTTAAGACGCTCCTCTGTCC